GTTCATGTATCATAGTGACTAATATTATAGCAGGTGTTTCCCAAGACTGCACAGGTGCTAAAAAGAACAAAGAGACAAGTCAAAAAGGAAAGAAATAAAAATAGGGGGGGGAGGAGTGAAGTATTACTCTCCTCCTTATCCTCCATCACGGCTCCATCCACCCAACCAGCTCTCCTTACCAACCTGCGCAGCATGATGTTAGTGGAGGCTACAAACCAGGCCAACCGTGGCTCGCCCAAGAAGCCATCCCCCCATTACCCACAAGGAAACCCCCAGGGAACCTCCGAACTCTCCAGAAGAGTAAGATATATTCAGTTGAGGTAATAAAATAATTCCAGAAAAAATGGTAATATGGAACTGTTCTACTCTATTTCAAGACTATGCCAAGAGATCCTCCGTAACCTTCATTTCATTCATTTTGGAAAGCGTAGTTTATGCTTTTAGTATTGCAAACATGTAAAGGGGCCTGAGGGAGCCAGGGGATGCAGAGTTTTATCAAAGATAGTTTCCTGTAAATCTAAGGACTGGACAGATTAGGGAGAAGGGGGTAAAAAATTATGATAGTTTGACTTGGTTTCCTACTGGTCAAAATGTGGTTCATGAGTTTTATTTATTGAAACACAGCAAACTACAGTTGACAACAGTGCCAAGGTTCCAGGTTCTTTTCAGATTTTTGATATTGATGCTTGTAAATGTCAGCGGTTTCAAAAGTGAGCAATTGTTATATAATCAGATTATCTCTGTTTGGTACTTTGATTTTTTTATTGTCTGCGTTGCCCAATGTGTGTCTCATTATTAAAACTGTTTCATTTTACACTTATGTAATCATCATTGTTGGTGCTGGAATGTAAATTCACTTGCTATAAATTTAGCCTGCTCTTGAAGTAATCTTTCCTGTGCAGTAGGAATATTAGGCCAGTCACTTGTATTTACTGAATTCTTTGTTAAATCATGTGTTGTAATTTTAGATTGGTAATACTTTTTTTCAAAAGGACGCAGTAGTTGCCATTGCTGACTTAGTTTTGAAGGTACAAGGCCTGGGGCTCTCATGTTTATCCTTCTTTCATTAATTTACAAGTCAGAACAAATGTATACATGCCGTAGTGGGTAGCTGTGGATATTTGTATTCCTTACCACCTTCTTCCACCTGCCCCCTGTATAATCAAGCAAAGTTTTTTTTTTTTGTTTTTTTTTCCTTACCCAACATGAAGCTCCGATATTCACTTCTTAGCCCCCGTGATGCCATCAGAAGATGGACTTCTCACAATGCCGAGGCATGGTGAAGTGGTCCAGGCATCACTTTCTCCAGACACTGTAGAGGCATCTTCTCCCCAGGACATGTAGACAATGTAATACCGTCAATAACAATGCCTAGGTTGGACCGAGGTGTGTCCTGCCTTGTCTGGCATTGAGTAAGGGGGTTACCACAGAGCCGTGTAGCCCTAGCAGATACAGTTGCTGTATGGTGACAACACTACAGTGAATTCACTGCAGGGCATTTAGTGTTGCCACTAATGATGTGTGGGGGCTTGGTGCAAACCCAGTCCATCTGAGCTCGACCAAGCGCACGCAAAACTGTGACTAATGCACTTCCCTGTATGGCCAATCAGTTGTGACAAAGGTATTCCATGCCCATTTGTGACATGTAGCTAAGGGGCAGGGAATGCCCCTGCTGCAACTGATTTTCCCGGGAGGAGGGGTGTATTAGTTACAGTTTTGCAAATGCTTGAACTGGGTTCAATCTAAACAGAAGGGCGCCTGTCACTTTGAAAAGGTGTATATAATTTATTTAGCACAATAAACTCTAGAGTGAGAGTTAGGTTCCCAGGTTGCCCCAAATTATAGCATGAACTACAGACTCCAAATACAGAGTAGGGCATTTAAAGAGAAAGTGCACTTTGATAGAAAGTGCACTTTTATAGAAAGTGCATTTATTGTTATTGCCCCTGTTCCCTAACATTTAAGAGCCCCCTACACCCCCTCCATACTTGTACTTACCCTGGGCTGGTGTCTGTGCATTCTTGTTAATGTTTTCAACCTGCACCAATCTCCTCATTGCCTGCCATGCCTGTGCAGTAGAGCCCCATGGGAGTCTAATTGGCTTTTTTCACTGTGTCTCCAGCTGGAAGACTGAAGTGGACGGACTTAATAGCAGTAACGGCACAATAGCTATAGCTCACTGGACAAGCCGCCAGACTTAATGCAAGGTCAAAACTTCTCCGGACTCTCCTCTTGCAGCAGAAGTTCGCCCCTTTCCCCCTGATGCTCCAATCCAAGGTGCAATTTCACTCTTCCTGGGCAAAACCTCTGACCAGACAGTGCAATCTTCTGGCCCAAGCCCTGGGCCTGTTTTTAACTAGAAAGTGTCCTTCCCAGGCCTATTGCCTATGTTTGGAATAGTAATGAGCCTGTGCTTGGTGCAAGTTTGCCCAAGTCAATCAGTTGCAGAGAGGCACATTCCCTGCTCCACAGCCGTTTGTAGAAAAGAAGTGGAGATTACCCCCACTGCATACCCCCAGCATGCATGACTGGCAATAAACCTCCCAGTAGTTGGCTAGGGCAGTGTTTCTTAACATTTTATTTTTAGTCACGTCACCCTTTAAAAGTATGCAAATCTCGAAGCACTGCCATTTTAAAATGTCAGAATTAAGGGGAAACCCACACAAAAACATCAAAGTGCCCCCTTTAAATCAAGAATGCCCACCCTTTGCATCAGTAGCTCCCTTTTACCTATTTAGTTTTAAAATGTCAGAATTAAGGGGAAACCCACACAAAAACAAAAAAAGTGGGTTTACCCCGCAACATCAAAGTGCCCCCTTTAAATCAAGAATGCCCACCCTTTGCATCAGTAGCTCCCTTTTACCTATTTTACTTATCAGAAGCCTCCTCCTTGATATGAAAGGGGGGCTTCTGATTTGAAGTGGGCTCCTAA